AATTTTTCCAAATCCATATTCTCTGGCCAGTAAGCTGAATTTTGTTAAGGCTACTCCTCATCCTGTTAGGACTATTTGACTTATACCTAATTTTTCCTTGCAACCAAGATCAAAACAGTTAAACAAATGTAGACATTAAATTAAAATCTAATCTATGTGCCTCCTATCAAATTGAGCTAACTGATTGGCATTTAGAAAGGCCTCCAAACATACTTTTTAAAAAGATGTATTAATTTAATCATTTATTGCAATATTAAGTTTAGCTTCATATTCTGTGGTAACCATTGGAAAATTTTGGAGCACAATCATATATTCATAAATGACAAATACAGTTGTCAACTTTAGTTTCTTTGTCTTATGGGAATAGAATGCTCCCAAAAATCATTAAAAGGGTTAATTAATTGCAATTTGGCTGAATATTGATGCATGGATACCTGAAGAATCTGAGTCCAACTAGCCAACTTATGATAATGTCAAAACACCTCTTAGTGGTATGTTTGAACAATAAATAAAATTAACTAAGATAGATACTACCTTTAAGAGTTGTTATGCTTAATTCCCATATGTGTCTCCAGGCGTAGTGTTTGAAATTTGTCCTAAACGAAACACTAAGAATGTATGATGGACTTTCCTTACTAGCAGATCTGACAGTCCATCAGCATGCCCTTCTCATAAAAGTAAGGTGCTATAAAATTGTGGTAGAACCAGTGAAATACGTTTTCTTGCTGAAATGGCTTCTATCAATCAAATGGCTGAAAATGGGGGAGTGGAGACAGGCTAGGCCATGCTTTTTGTTACTATTGAAGATTTATTTTATTTCTTTTTCTCTCTAGCATTCTGGCAGCTATCATGAATCTTGAGAGAATTTGGCCTAGATTACAATGAGGATAAAAATGAAAGGATGCTGAAGGTGCAACTAAGCGCAACTCATATTGATGGGAAAGTCGCAGTTTGGATGCAGTTCAAGTGCAGTTGTAACTGAACGTTTCCCACAATTTATTTTATTTGTGATCCATGCCAATCAATTAAGATTTGGATGGTATACAATGAATCACACAACAACAAATTCCGAATTTATTGTTTTAAAGGCCACCGGATAGCCAATTGACTCCGAATGTTAAAAAGAATAGAGCACAATTTAAAAAAGTGTTTTAAAAGACTTAGGAGAATTTCTTCCCTTTTGTTTGTTCCTCACTAGGGTCAAAATGCCAGATACCATAATTCAGAAATCAAAAGTTTTATTTAGCAAGAAAGCAAAAGCATTTGAGTGTGACGGGCCCCTTGCAAAAGGTGCAAAGCCATTTTATGGTTACTAGAGCTCTAGTTCTGGAATTTTCAAGTTTTACTTTTCCAATAAGGAATGGCCTAATTTCTCATGTTCTAATTGGCATACCTTATCTCTGTGCTATGACTATATTTGTCCCCACATTTCTTTCTAATCTATGTAAGGTAGTCCTCAACTTACAACTATTCATTTAGTGAACATTTGAAGTTACATATATTCATTATATATCAAACTATATATTCATTACATTTCATTTTCGGGTACTGTCATTCTGTTGGGAGTGGGGAGGTTTCGCTCTTTGGGGAGGGGGAAAGCTCTGTGGGCTTTGGGATGTATTTCCTTTATTTTGTTCTTTTCACCTTTGATGCATCTCTCTGGGTGTGAAAGGGAGGAGGAATGTGCCTGAGGCCATCTGTCTTATCTTTACTCTGCTGGGAAGAGACCGGGATGGAAATGAAATGCCTGAGAACTGCGGCTTTATCACTCCAGTTTCGATAACTTTACACCTGTGGATTGGCCGAAATCATACTGGACTGTTGGGCACTGGGGAGGGGTTTGAAAGGAGAGTTTTAAAGTAATGTTTTGCATGGGAATTATTTAGATCTTGCCTTGCTATTCTGCTATCACTATTTCTCAATAAAAAAAAATCCTTTTGAAATGATGCCAGTTCCAGGAGTTCTGATTTCTTGGGAGTGCTAGCTGAGGCAGGACTTACATTACAGCAGTACTAAAAAAAATGACTTATGATCATTTTTCACATTCACAATTATTGCGGCATCCCCATGGCTACATGACAAATATTTGGATGCTTGGCAACTGGCATATATTTAGGAGAGTTGTATTGGCCTGTGATCACCTTTTTGTTGCCACCTTCTGACAAGCCAAGGTCAATGGTGAAGCCGGATTTACTTAATAACTGTGTTACTAACTTAGCAACTGCAGTGATTCACTTAACAACTGTGGCAAGAAAGATCATACAATGGGGCAAAATTCACCTAACAACTATCTTGCTTAGCAGTGGATATTTTGGGCTCAATTGTGGCCATATGTTGAGGGCTATCTGTATACAACCTTCTTAGTCTCCATGTACAGTATAGAAAATTGTAATCTATTTGTTCAGCGACCACTCAAAATTATGGCAGCGGTGAAGAAGTAGATATCCAATCTGTCCTCAAAGGTCCAGCCATTGCAGTGTGCCTGCGGTCAGGTGATCTTGATAGAGTTGCTTGGGTGCCCAGAACATGATTAGGATGTCCATCAGGTTATTACTGTTTTTGATCTTCCCTATTGGCTACCCACAAACAAAGCCAATGGGGAAGCCAGTGGGGAAAATTGCAAGTCCAGTAAATTGTTCTTGCCACATTTTCTCCCTAGGAGTCTGCTCCGGAGTGTGAGCAGGGATAACTGCCCTTTGATAGTGCTGTCAATCTAGCTTTCAATCTGGAAGCATATTAGAATCACTGAAATTAAAGAGCTTTGTATATGAAGTCTTTCACGTGTATTGTCAAATATTTATTGTTTCACAGGTAGAGAACAAACTCAGTAGTTAGCATAAATATCAGTTTTTGAATATGGTGTTACCTTTTAAATAAATATATAAGAAAATCAAAATATGCCAAAGCTGCGATCCTAGAAAAAGATATTATTCCAGCGAGAATTCTCAAGAGCGTGAAAATATTTATTGTATGGCCTCTGGCTGCAATTTTGCAAAGCATTTGTCTGAAGAAATAAGCTTTTAGCGTTCCCAACCACACAAAGTAATCTAAATCAGAATCATGGAATGTTTTTTTAATATTTTTTCAAAATTAGCTTTTTACTGTATGCTATCTGTGAGATGGGCAGCTATATAAATTTGATAAGCAATTCCTATCTTTAAATCCTATCTTTATTCTAGCTGAGTATAAAAAATACATTGCTTAGCCAGTATTTCATGAAGTCAAAGAGACAAAAACATAACCTTCAATCCCTTGACCCACAATATAACCACAACAAAAGTAAACATGAAAAGTGGCTGCTCCCTATTCTGGCAGAATACTTTGGCCTTAGCGGCAACTATCTGCATGTTACTTGTTACACTGGCCATTGCAAATATAGTACAGTGCTGGATGATACAACCCCTCACTGCACTTCCACATGAAGTCTGCACCAATCACACATTTGTCTCAGTCCTGTTGAAATGTTAAACAGTTCTCTCTTTCCAAAAGCTGAGCTGATTTTTTTACCTTTTGGCTCAGCAATGGTGCAAGAGAAATTGCCCTAAAAGTGGGTTTCAGCTGGAAACACCAGATCTGGGCAAGGTTGGGGGCAATCTATTTCCCCTTGGAAGAAATTCTTGTCTTGCCTCTCCACCTGGTTCCAGAATTTCAACTGTCTGAAGAATTCTTGCTGGACAGCTTCACATCTCCTCCATAGTTTAGTATCCTCCTCCTCCTCTGGGAAGCTGACACCAGCCAGAGTGTAGAAAAATTCAAAGAATTAGTGAAAGATCGGAAGATGTGGAGACACTTGGCCTATAGAATCACCAAGAGTTAGACCCAACTGAATGGATAACATCATCATCTCTGACAAGGGTTGATCTGAAATCAAAGCCTTCAACTATGAGTTGTCAGAAATGAAAGTGTTCAGAGATCACTTTGGAAAGATAAAGAAATAGAAATGGTGGTAACATCAAAGTGCCTTTTGAAAGTCCCCTTGATAACAAAATGTTAGTGGAGCTGAATATTTTGTCTCTTCAATGTTAGGTAAATGCTATGTCTTCTAACATTCTTTTTAAAAAATACAATTGCATTAGTCAATGGATTTGTTCAATGAATACAAATACATTAGCCACTTTAAACTATGTAGTTGAATTATTGATGTCTGTTACTCTTCCAATTAGTTTTGAGAATTGTGCAGTCTTTTACAATAAAGCACAGCTGGTGCTTTAAAAAAATAGAGAAATGTATGTGCATTATGTGTATGTATGTGTGAGAGAAAAATGGATGCCAATAAAATAGAACTAATTAATTCTATTGTGATGTGTTTCTTGGCAACCAATTTAGTAATGAAATCATATTTTTCAATTATACTACATCATATGCTAGTAGAATTAGGAATACCTGCTGAAGTGGCAGATTTTCTCACTTTATGAATGAATAAAGTTACATTAGTTCCAATCCCTTGAAATGGTGTTTTGTTTTTATAACTTGGCATTATGTTTCAGTTCAAAATGGCTTCCATCTTGCTATACAGATGTACACGAGGAAGTAAAAATCCCGAAACAATGCCAGACAGCATATTTTATAAAGTTTAATATGAAACAAAATGCTGGGAGTTTTAATGCAGCAGTCTTTAATGTCAGCCTCTTTCTGAAAATGTCTCCTTATCCAAAAAGCATCAGTGACTCTTTTTCCAATCTAGGTGTTTTGCAAGAGGCAAAGGAAGAAAAGGTGCAAAAGAGCAAATTAACTAACGCAAAAGAAACCTCCAGGTTAAGAGAAAGATTGTTTCTGCAAACTGATCTATTCTCTACTAGACAAGTTTCCACTGTTCCATGTGCAGCTCTGTTCACAACGGCCAGTATTGGCAATTTATGAATACATTTTCAGTTTACTTGTTTATGATCTTCTTTGTCGATGGCTAAATTTAGGGTTAGAGTTATTCTTCCCAAAGTGGTCAGTGGGCAAAATTACATTCTGCATTGCTATTTTATTTTGTAGAGTAGTTTGTTTTTTAAAAAAAATTTTCCTACAGTTATATAGATTACCTGAAAATTAGCAATTTATTGTATATTCCAAATTGTGCCTATATCAGATTTCAGCATGTGGAATTATATTCTTTGTCCCTGTACATAAAAGTAAATAGGCATACTGCAGCCTAAAAAAGCAATTGCTGGGACTTGACACTGTTCAACTGTGTTTTGTTAAACTGTCTTTGCAGCTAGCAAGCTACCCTGAGATGGGGAAGGGGGGGAGGAACACAAGCCATAAGAGTGCCATATTGCAAACAAAATAAAAAAACATGTTAGGTGCTAAATTTCTAATTATTTAATTTAAAAGTATAAGCCTTCCTTCCCTCCTTCCCTTCCATATTTTCTGAACATTCAAACATTTTCCGAATATTCAAACAATGCTATGACTTTGAGGCATATATTAACTGCATAATGAAGATCTACATGTAAATGAACTATGGAAAAGGATGTTAGAATTGGTGCAAGTTCCTTTAAAACCACCAGATGGAACCATTCTTTACCTTCAATGAAGCCAAACAAGTATACTAAATACTGTATAGAATTATTTGATTGTTGCTAAACATTCTTCTGCTCTTAGAAGAGCTTAGAATATAAGAAACTTTGTTACAACTTAACCAAGGTTGGAATGAGTAATGTCATAGCAGGATGCTATTCTTAGCGCTACCTAATTGCCAACATGACTGATCCAAGCTAGTTTTAAGCTATCTTTATAGTTACTAATCAACTCTGTCATGTTAGACAGGGTAAATACTGTTGTCTAGATAAGTATTGAATTGTTGTATGAGAGCTTATTTCATAGGGTCATTCGTGTTCCTGACAAAGATTCAACAAATGAAAGACTATGGCCATGAATGCAATTTAAAAAGGCACCATTTCATAACTGGCTGCTTTTCTTGTATGTGCAAAAAAAAAAAAATGAATAGTATGCTAATTTCAATCTACAATAAGTCTTCCCAAGAAACAAAATCAAATCAGAAATTATTCAGCCAAGACTCTATTATAATATATTTTGCTACTTAACATTCTAAATTAATGTTTGAGGGACAAACTACACACAAACTCTATTTAAAAAAAACACTATTTTATATATTTTAGGTCTTATTTATTATAATATTGATATGAAATCCAAGTTGAGACAGAAATATTCATTCCAAAAATTTAGAAGTTTACTTGTTGGATGCATGTATATAAAAACTAATTCGCAAATTTAGAATCTCTGATGAATCACACATTTGCTGCAGTGAGAACTTCCTGCTAATTTTGTATAAAAAATATCAAATTATTTGCATTTCTATTATTTTCATAATTCTCTATTTCCAATATTTATGCAACTTCATTATATATAGTTCCACTTGTTCCTCTGAGTTACGTGGACAGTCTGTAAGGATGCAACATGCCTTGTTACCTTTTTCATGTTTATTATTTCGTTGTTCATTGCATATTATCAATAAGTATCCCAGCAATGAAAGACTTTTTCAATCATTCCACTATCTATTGTCTTCAACAATTATTGTTCTTCTAGGGTAGCTATCGATATCCACAAAAATATAACGATAATCATATTTTCCACTTTCGGGATTCTGTTAAAGAAAGAAGGGTAATTTCTGTTAAAAATGAAGAAAGAGAAGATGTGGGTAATTTAAATATTAAATCAGAGATGTGGAAAGAAATCTGACCTAAAGGCTGAATCCTTACATGTCACAAAGATCAGATCATTGTCTTCTCCTTTACAGATAAACCTAGTCTAATACATGATCCAATCACATTCCAGCTTATATGGTATGTAACTATGAGGAAAAGCCTGAGATTGCCACTTACATTTCTACAAGGTGGAACTTTTCCACGTCTGTATTAAATTATGGTCTATATTTTATTGGAGTTTTTGTACCTCTTTGACTTCAAGATGAACAGTTCCTTGTTTTCCTTTTTCAGATCCCTCAATGTAGAATTTTAGACGCATGTATTTCAATCCATCTTTTACAAACTCAATGTGGCTGATGAAAATCACAAAAGAAATATTTTCCAACATAAGAAAACAATTCTTCAAATCGTACATCTGCAATTTTTGGATAAAGCAACTGTGACTTCAAAACTTAAATATATGCTGCAGCCCATGGCAAACAATTAATTAACAAAAGATGGGAACACAGTAAACACAATCCTTCAAATGTAGGTAGTGAGCAATACTACTGCAACGAGATGTCAATGTGCTTTGATATAGTGTGAAGCCAGGAGAGGAAAATTTAGAACTATTTGTTGAAACATACCAGTTTTCTAGATTTTATTTGATTAGATCCATTCATTTATTATATGTACTTTGGATCTGTGCCACAGTAAACATTATCTTTCTTTCAGAATGTAATTAAAACTTTTTATACCTATCCTACTTAGGCTCATAGTTCCAAATTCACCAACACAATCAGACAGAATATTTCAATAAATATTATTTATGTCTAATTCTATCCAGTTTAATCAGAAGCAAATTTCATCAAGGGTATTTAGGGGAAATGAACTGAATCAAGCGTATGCCAGACTAAAGTCAGAAGCTAAAGAATACAACATAAAATGGACAATATACAATATTTTTTACAGTAAATATTATCTTTTGAGTACCCTGTCTAGTAACACCTATCACTGTGGCACAGAGATCAAGTATCCATATACATTCCTGAATTTACACAGTTACAATATAACAAAATGCACTAGATAGTTGTATATGGCATCTTTATGCCTTAATTTAAGTAAGTTGACAAATAGTCCTGCCATGCCTTCACCCTGAAAATGACACTCATTTCCCTTCAGCTATAATATAACATGTTTGATTCTGCTGTTGGAATCTCATAAACCTGGAGCTGTCTTTCAATGTGACACAAGTTTAAGATTTAGGATACCTAGAAAATTGTTTACCCAGTCATTATATAAATCCTATGTACATAATTTACATTCTAAACTAGTTCTTTAAGGCAAAAATTGCATTATTGAAAACAATATGCTTAAAGAGAAAGAAAAACAAAAACCAAATTTCTACACTGGGAAAAAAAAAATCTGATTTTTCAGTTCTGAATTCCAGCTACTGGTAAAGATGTGTCCTTAATGTGACAATATGCACCTCAAGATGGGGAACAAACACATCTTGGATGGGCTGAGAGTGTGACTGACCTAAAGTCACCCAGCTGGCTTTCATGACTAAGGCAGGACTTGAACTCATGATCTCCCACTTCCTAGCCATTCTAAACACTAGACCAAACTGGGTCTCTATAAAAGAAGATTTGAAGAATATTTCCTGCCCATATGAGGTTTGTCCTCTTATTCGGTTTGTCCCAGTTAATCCTGATTAATATTTAAATTTACATGGAGATAATAATAGAGAATAATAATGGAGAACTTTTCACAGCCTTTCCTTTGAATCTTTCATTGTTCAGGTACAGAAACACTAAAAGATTTATTACATGGGACGTTTCCACAGAAAGACTTTATCAATTATTTATTTAACTACTTCCTAGTTGTTTCTATGAAGTATTTCCCAAGATAGGACATATTCCTACCTCTAAACTACTCACTATTTCATGCTGAAATAATGTTGGATGTTTTGTTCGGCCTGATTAATATTCTTTCTTTTGCCCTATAGATGGGCACATTTCATATCCTTTTGTACTAAGTTGTGTGAGCTTAAGCAATGGAATTGATGGTCCATGTCCTTTCATATTGTCTTTTCTCTAAGATATTTGTACAGCTTTGATTGTATCTCTGATATCAAGCTTGCCAAACTATAATCCATCTTGCTTCATATGGTGTTTTCTTGATAAAGACGAACAAATGTAGTCTGATTTGATTCTGAACTGTAAATTTAGAATTTGAAAAATGAATCTTAGATATGGTAGACTGTATTTATGAGAATTCCATCTGCAGTTTTGTAAGCACTTCATTATATTGCACTTTTAAAAACTGTAATGATCTATTTGCTACTTTTCTTGCAATTCTACAAGGACTGACTCTCCCAATACAGGTAATCCCTGATTTACAGCAGTTCACTTGCTGACCATTTGAAGTTACAAGGGCACTAACAAAAGTTTTTCACATTTACAACCGTTGTAGCATCTCCATGGCCACGTGATTTACATTTGGATACTTTAAAACGGACTCATATTTATGAGGTTTGCAGTGTCTTGGGGGTTATGTGATCACCTTTTGCAACCTTCTGACAAGCAAAGTCAATGGGGAAGCCAGATTCACTTAACAACTGTGTTAACTAATTTAACAACTGCCATGATTCATTTAACAAATGTGGCAAGAAAAGTTGTAAAATGGGGCAAAATTCATTTAACAAATTTCTCACTTAGTAACATAAATTTTGGGTTCAATTGTGATTGTAAGTTCAGGACTACCTGTACCATAACAATATAAGAGGTATATCAGCATCAACGGACATGGACAACAATTAATACTAAACAAATGCCTGTATGTTTGCTAAGAAACAATCCAAAGCTTTGATTGTTATTAATTGCTATTTCATTCATTAGAGGTAAATTTAGGTTAGGCTAAATTACTACTTTTTAAATTGAATACAAGAAGAATCAAGTAAGCTGAATAATGTAAAAACAAGTTCAAAGACAGTAACAACCAGAAAATAACATTTAATAGAAATGTTAAGGGTTCCATTAATAGATACCTGACCAACTGTCTTCTCCCACGACGTGTAGCTTCACCATAACCTTTTATGGGTTCACCAAAAACTCCTATTACCTAATTAGTTACAACAAGACAACGTGCTTAGTGATCCATTTTCTATCCAGGACTAGTGAGTAGCTTCATCAGAATAACTTCAAATGCTATATAATCTCCCATCAGACATAATTTATATCTTTTTACTATATTGATTTCAAAATTTTAGTAAAACAAGGCATGCTTCTTTGGGGAAAAAGCTTCATGTGCTGGATCAGCTGGTCTAATATTACCTACCACTACATTTAAATAACTTCTGTGGTCTTCCCTCTGTAAATTTTTAATATGAAATTTGGGTTTCCTTGCGTTTGATGCTGAATGATAGAATAGCCATGCTGGAATTTATGAAGAATATTGAAAATGTCAATTCATGAAAAAAAGAACACAGTGGAGCAGTTGGCACAGATACTTTATCACCTGTGGCTTATTTTAAATAGATTGTGTATAACTGATATGTTGTGAAAATGCTATGATATAACGTCCCTGGTATGGCAGAAGAAGAATGGCCAATCCTACTTTCAGATGTTGGGAATCAGCAATCTTTAAGAAAACTATCTTTCACTTTATAATGAGCACACCAAGTTCCATTGATTCTGAGGATCAATTAAAGAAAATGTTTTTTAAAAATTAAGGCAGTTTTTTCTACAATCAACATCTTTTTCATTGAAATTTGGACACAAACCTCAGGGTGAGCTCTGCATTTCTCCAAGGCATCACCGTAGATCTTACTGGGACTGGAAGAAGAGAATAATTCCCTAAAAATCACATAGAATAACCCACCTAAAGGAGAAGAAAATCAGATGCCAATGAATCAAACAATCTTCTAAAGAGCCAATATTAAAGCACTTTGTAAACTAGAATTTTTTTTTAATCACCTGTTACACCGATCCCGATAATCACCACAATCAAATAAGTGAAATCTCTTCCTGCTTCTTTCACTGAAAGAGGGAAAAAAGAATACAACAAACAAAATAGCTGTAAAATACCAGATAAAAAAAGAACAAGATCTAAAATTAATGCCTTTTAGAGCTTCCTCTGAGAATCAAAACACGTTAATAGCTTTTGTCTTGAGAACAGTGAGAAAAGCATTTAAATTGTTAGTTCTATCACATGTACTAACGTTCTACAGCTGTTTCATTCTCTATCTTCTTTAAGATTTTAATGTAGTCTTGCTATTGCACTACTGAACAGAAAGATGTACTTGTGCTTTCTGTTCACAAGAACGTTAAGAATATATCCATTTGGATGGATTTTTGATCAGGAACTTTCTATGGTTGTTTAGTTTTGATTAGTGGATACTGTTCTTGGTTAATTTGCTATATAGAAAAGATTTTGCTGTTCCACTAACAGGGGCAGCAAAATCTTTTGGATTAGCTTTGGCTGAATCTCTGCCAATATCGTCTCCCTTTCTTTACAATTACTGACTGCATGGCACAGATGAGATGGACAAGAAAATACTTATTCCAGAACAAAGATAACAGCAGTTCTAAAAACAGCAGAGGTAAATCATTATTGCCATTATTCTTTAAAAATTTGGCATGGCTTGGCCCATGTTTTTGACTAGTTGAAAAAGCTTCAACTGTGTTGTGTTTTCACTTCACCTTTCAGAGATAAATGCATGAAGCTATACCTGACTACCAAAAAGTTTCTTAATTTTCTATATATTTAGAGAGATATGTTATTTCAGTCATAGCCCAGAAAAGAACACAAAGTATGTGATAACAATAAAAAACAGAAAATCCAATGAATATAAAACTGGAATAGTCGAGGTGTGACATATTTTATAAATAGTAAAACATATATATTATAAATAGTATAGTATAACAGTTAAATGCTACTTAATTAGGAGGAAGAAACAGCTTTTACTTCTGCTGAGAATAATCAGTATCACTCCAATTCCAACTCACTGGATTCTACATGGCCCTGGACTCTAGTTGTTAGTATTTTGAAGGTAAGGTTGAATGTAAGGTTGTGGACAAGACAGCTGATTTGGCACTGATTACTGATGCCTGGGTGGATCCAGATGGGAGATATTTCCATCTGGATTTCAAATCTGACAACAGTCACAACCCCAGGGAAGGAGAGGTTGGATGGCATTTATTATTTGGGAAACCTTCTGTTCTGCAGATACTGGATGTGAGATTCTCTCGTTGATATAGGATTTGGTGTTGCTATACCGGCCTGCCTGCTGGGCAATGACATTCTTGTCTGAAATGCTGGACTCTGCTGGTGTGTTAGCAGCAGAGTTGCCAAGGTTAAAAGTTCTTGGTGACCTCAAACTGTCCCAGATGCCATAAAGACTGTGGCAGTTCAGGAATTCATGGCTACTATAGCCACACAGACTTGACCCAAGTAATGAAGGGTCCATGGGAAACATTAGATCTGTTTTTTTTTTGTTTTTTTTTTGTCTCTGGGCAATTGTAACATGATGTGGTAGTCAAGGACATTACCACCAGTTTTCATGGTGTTTTTTTAGTTTGCTGTCTGTTTTTTGTTTGTTTGTTTGTTTTAGTTTGTTGCCCTCTTCACTAAGAAGACAAGACCTATTAGCATTCTGCCCCAAACAGCAATGGAACTGTGGTAATTTGACTGAGGCCTTAGCCTTGAGTTGGGATAGGATGGGACAACAGCCTTAGATGGCATTGTTTCTATGAAATCTCTCATTATTTGCTGAACCTGGAATGTTAATTGGTTTTTAGAGCAGCTCTGCCAGATGAAATACCAGAAGAGATGCCTGAAATGCCACTGGAGAATGACAAAGAACAAGTCCAACTGAACACAGGCTTGTCCCTAGCCTAAAAATGAGTTAACTTTAAATTGTCCTTTGTACTAGGATAAACTACTGTGTCTCTCCTAATTCTGTCACCATCCAAAAGCAACATCAAAGTCTGTTAAGCTGCTTCCCATTGCTCTGATAGTAAATCAGATACCCAAGGTGACTTTAAATAGAACAGACAGATAGTGGAGACAGTAAATTTTATTTTCTGCCAAACATTCAGCTTAGGAGTGAAAAAAGATCTTATGCCTGCCAAGGTATTTCACCTTTGGCCCTTGAAGTGTTAGTTACCTAAGTTCCAGGCAACATAATTGCTGAACTACAAATCCCAGCAAAATGAAGAACACTTAAGATTTGTATTTCTGCAAAACCTGGCTGGCTATGATATCCCCATTCCTCTTCCACACATTTTGCTGCAACCACATGCCTTCCAGATTTGCTTAAGGTTCACTCCTGTAATTATCATATTGGCCCTGCAGGCTGAGATTGTAAGACTATATTAGGCCAAAGTGGTTTTTTTTCAAAGAAGGAGGCTACTTTTTACCTTTCAAATGTTGAAACCATCCAGACCCAAAGAACATTATCCATAGCAAGAGACTCTAGATCTCACTTCCTAAAATGTTTGGTGGGCCTCATTTTTCCTTCATGCAGAGTAACAAAGAGATATTCGGAAACACGGAAAACTGCACCATTTTAGGGAACGCTTTATCGTTCTGAGCAACGTGAAAGCAACGTCTCTCCCTCCTTACCTTTTTGAGCAGCTGACAGTGAAACGTCTCCCTTTTTACTTTGCACAGGCACCTGCGAGCTCCTGTTCTCTGATTTTTCGGATCTCAGGGGACTCGAGGGGACCCATAAATTTCGCTTTATGCCATCGTAGCCTATCTCAGGACTCAAGACATGGTCATGGCTGAACCCTTGCCCTACTCTGGACCATGCCCAAGTGCTTAGAAATGCCGTCCTATGTCGTGCAAGCGCCTGCTTCACCGCAGATCTCAGTAGCTGGTCACTACAGCAAATTCCTCGCACAAAAGCGGAAAGCATCATGATTTACTATTCCTGTAAGACCCAGGAATCAATTCCAGCCCCCTTGCGACTTATGCAAGCAGCCGGAGGCATCGCTCTGCAGTTTACTCTCGGTGCAAAGTGCCGGTAGCCGTTGAACGACTCATTGCGATGTTTTTCTTTGCAGTTTTCACTTGTTGAAAGAAGTCGAACAAAGTAAAGGCGGCCACGACCTTTACTGTCACAGATACTTGCCACTCGCCGCACCATTTACGTTTGCAAGCGATTGTGGGAACCGTAGTTTTCAGGATATACGATCTGCTCACTGATCTGCAGAGAAAACAAATGAAGGACTTCAATTCCCAAAATGCAAGGCGCGATATTTTCCATAGAGCTGAAAGCGCATTAGATTACAGAAGTAGAGTTCCAGCTTTCAGTTCGCGGGCTTAATTCATAGAGAAGGAGCTTTTGGCGGAATTTGATCATTCTGACTAATGCACAAGAAAAAAAATATCTGAGATTCGTATAGCATGCGTTATTCAAGTTCAAAATAGAGAATAGTATCAAATACCGCGTTGATGCTATTCTCTATTTTGAACTTGAATAACGCATGCTATACGGATCTCAGATAGTTTTTCTTGTGCATTAGCCAGAATGATCAAATTCCACCAGTTACATATTATCTTCATAGTACAATTTTCCCCAAAATTTAAAAGCCTTTAAATTACGATTCCTTGTCAGTTTGAGCTGTGTAAAAATTGTCATACGTTGAAGTCCAACACAACTGGAAAACCCCAGGTTAAAGAAATGTATCTTATCCTATGAAATGGCATTTGAAATATTTATTGCTAGTATCTCTTTGACTTTTGTGAGTTTTTCAAGTCACTAATGGAAAAAAGTCACCTTTCTCCCATAAATTGTAAAGCTATTATTGGTGATATTTAAGAATTTCATTCTGTGGAAGAGAGCTTGGGTTTAATAGTGTTCTCTTAAATTGCTTTAAAGATGGATTTGCTTGCTATACAAAGTACAGAACCATTTTTAAAGAAATACAGACACATACAGAGTTCTACTGGATTCATGAATTGGGGCAAATAACATCCCTGAACGGTTCTTACACAGCTTTTCCTCACACATTATCTTATTGTCAGCTACTTTTCATTCAAATTTCTTGCTAGCTTGACAAATCAAAAGATCAGAAAATGATGATATTGTAAAGTTAGCAGCATAATTATATATTAATTCCTTTTAGATATGGAGAAAAATATAAATGTAATTCCCATACTTCCAAGAAGCCTTTGCTTGAAAGAGCCTTTGATGTTTGGAAAAAAACTATCATGCAATCAGCTGTAGCAATGTGTGCAGAGTTGTGTAAGGGATCCATGACATAGGAACCTGCACTTATCCCCAAAATAGGTACCTTCAAGCCTCAACAGGTTGTGGTGAATATTCCTGCTGCAGTGCCATGATTGGTGTTTTCCCCCTAGCTTTTCTTCACGTTGTGAGGCTTTATCTTCATAGAATCATAGGGCTGGAAGCGAGTTTGGATGTTTTCTACTCCAAACACACACACACAAGGCAGGAGTCCTGATATCATCCCAAACAGATGGTTATCCAATCTTCATCTCAACCTTATCCATGAGAGAGGCTTAACTCTTGCTTAGCTATATTGGTGTTAGCGTAGTACAGTGTTTCTCAACCATGACAATTTTAAGGCATGTGGACTTCAACTCCCAGAATTCCACAGCCAGCATTGCTGGCTGTGGAATTCGGGGAGTTGAAGTCCACATGCCTTAAAATTGTTAAGGTTGAGAAACACTGGCGTAGTACAACATTTTTTAACCTCAATAACTTCTAAGATATATGGACTTCAACTCCTAGAATTGGTGGCTGGAGAATTCTAGGAGTTGAAGTGTTTACATCTTAAAGTTGCTAAGGTTAAGAAATGTGAGAATATAGGTAGAGCTTGACTTTATAACAGTTCATTTAGTGATATTCAAAGTTACAACGGCTCTGAAAAATGTGACTAATGACCATTTCTCCCATTGCAACATCCCCATGTGTTATGTGATTAAAATTCACACGCTTGGCAATTGACTCATATTTATGACTGTTGCAGTATCCTGGGGTTATGTGATCACTCTTTGTGACCTTCTGACAAGCAAAGTCAATGGGGAAGCCAGATTCACTTAATGACCATGTTACTAATTTAACTGCAGTGATTCACTTAACAATTGTTAAATGTTGTAAAATGGGGCAAAATTCTGTTAACAAGTCTTTCATCTAGCAACAGATATTTTAGTCTCAGTTGTGATAGTAAGGAGTACCTGTAATGCCTTTTCACTTATTCCAAGGACAGACTCAAGATATATAACATCTGCCCATTACCGTTGTTAGGAATAAAATTTTAGAATAAAAAGTAAAGTGACACGTACTCTGTAAAATTTCTACACGCAGACAGAAAGATTTCTAAACAAAAATTTCTACACGTAGACTGCAAGATTTCTACACAATTTCTACATGTTCACGTACCTTGGAAGAGTTCTGCACGTAGGCTATAGGATTTCCACACTGAGCTATAGGATTTCATGATAAAGTACATATAAGGGAATAGGTGAAGCAAAATAGTAAGGGGCAGGGATAATGTATTTTGTTTAGGCGATCCTGATAAGATTGTAACCTCAGAGGAGGGGCCAAGGCGTCGGGATAGAATGTATATAATGTGTGTTTTTGCTGTGACCAGGTGTGGCTCAAATATTTATTTGGAGTCCACCACGCTTTGCAAACCGTTGTAGCCAATAAATCTCTAATTTCAACTTGCTGTTTGGTGTTATTCAGTGGGCTAGAATTTCTACCAACACCGTTAAGTCAACGACTGAGAACAGAGGCAAGAAATAGGCATCAGCGCTGAGAAAGTACATTTTATAATAGTATAATTTCTGCCAGTTCAAGGATTAATTGAATGTAACTTTTCAACCCAGCAGTGGGGATGGGAGACCAATAAGGTTGTATCTTTCAAAGGCTTGGAATGCACGGAAAGCAACATTTTTGATAGAATACTTGGGGCACTGCAGAAGATGCTGCAAGGGCAGGGCATATATGTTCCATAGTTGGTAGTGATCACAAATAAATATTTGAGGAGTGATGCAGAACACCACAGTATTAAGAATGATACACTGTTTCCCTCCCCCCCAAACCTGAACCAGCCCCTCCACCGTTTCTGCTAGAAGCACTCTGCTTTAGTGGTACAAACCCTTAGAATTAACTGGAAACTCTGGAGAGTGAGACAGGCAGCGTCTAAATTTAATAAAGAAAATCACGTGCGCTCCTTTCCCATTTGGCCTGCTCGCCCCGCCCCTTGTCCACAGGGCCAAAGGGAAGCCGGGAAAACTGCGCGGCTCGAGGCAAAGCGCGCTTGGGCGTTTGACAGAAAGTTTGAGCTTGGGATTTCCGCCTCTCCCCCCCTCCCGCGGAGACCAGGAGCGCTTTGGTGCACTTTCGACCTGAGGCTTCCAAAGCTACCTCCCCGAGGCCCGTCTCTATGGCAACCGGACGCGGTTGGATTCTGAGGCAGCACAGCGTTGGCTTCTTGCACTCTTCGATTGCCGCCGAAGTTCGGCGGGGAATTGGCGCCCCCTCGGCGCCGGCGCCGCCTCTCTTTATCCTCCCCGCCGGAGATAGTTCCCTGGCGGTCAGCTCTTCAGCGGGAGACGGGTAACCCGAATTCGCTTGCTTCGAGGGATGGGAGGCTCCTTGGGCAAGCCGCGTCTTTCTGCGGCAGAATTGAAGAGAAGCCTGCAGCTTTTCCGGCTGCCTCCCGGTCCTGGTGGGAAGGTCTCCCCTCGCCGCCAACTTGCCCATGTTAAGAGACTTACACAGTCTCTACCGGTGGGGGAACCGAAGGATTGTCGCCTTAATTCTTGACGTCCCTCTGGAACACACCTCTGAAGTTTCTGCTTGTGGCTAGTTTTACCCTGGTAGATTGCTATGATCCCGGGTTTCATTCATGGTTTTCTTCCTTTATTGGTTCTTTTAAGGAAAGAAAATACCTGATGGAGTTATTATTATTATATGTATTTGCCTGTCTTGCCATGGGGCTACTCTAGGTGGTTCACAACCATAAAAAAGCAAAGAAATACAAAGGAAGTTTAAACAAAGTAAAATAATAGAACAATAAAATAAACAAGGAAAAACAAAAACGCATCCATATGATTAGTAAAAAAAAAAAGATGGGTTAGTGGGGAGCAGAGAACGGGGAAATGAGCCAAATTAGCTCATCTGGTTATATTTCCTATCTGGTTTACATTTGATATTTTGAAAATGAAGGATAAATTCTTGAATAAGGTTTAAATAACTTGTGCCATTTTAAAACTATAAATCATTATTAAAATGTAGACAACTGTACAAGGGTCAACAGATATCAGCACTGTTTGAAATGTAAGTTAAAATGAAAAGTGAATCATGTGGTAAATAAGAAATTTATCCTGATTTAATAAATTGCTCGTGTCTTAAATGTTAAGTTTATGTTAAGACAAACCCAAATTTGGGTTGTGACACAATTGGATTCATATGTGGTATTAATCATGGTTATTTTAGCTATGGTTGAATTGCATACACGTAGTCCTTAACTTAGGACCACTCCACTGTTGTAAGGACTGCAGTTCAACCATAGCTAAATACTGTTGTAAGTCAAGTTGGATTACATGTTTACAACAATTTTTACAGCAGTCATTAAACGAATTACCATGCTGGCTAAGCGAATCCAGCTTTCCCTGTGGGCATTTTGTTAATACCATACCACTACAGTTATTGAATTTACTGTATATTCAGTAAATCATTCAATTCAATTCAGTTATATTCAAAATTATATTGTTACCCAGAATTGCTCAATAGTGAAATGAGTAGCATATAAATTTAATAAATAAATATATTGTTGCTTAACATAATGAGGCTCTAGTTTTATGTACTTTGTGTTGCTTAAACAAGCAATGTTGTTTTGTATAAGGGACTGTTATGGTCCCTTGGTTTTTTTCTTAATTCACTTTTAAAGGCAATGTAACATGTAAAACTAGTAATTATTCACCATTTATAATTCTGTAGGGAAAGCTTGGCTAGGTTATTGGTAAAGGAAGAGGGTTCCTGTTGTAAAACAATTAGGTCTTTCAAATATGAAGTGGCCTACCAATATTTTTTCAAAGCATAGTAAGAATTCATACAGTACTTGAGTCGGAATAGTTTTAAGATTAAGTATTTGTTTTTCTAGTGCTGAGTCAGAATACTCATCAGTAAT